TTGCCATATCATGAACAATGCATGCTACCCCTCTTTTGGGGGGGGACAAAAAATAAAAAAAACATAAAAAAAGTATGTGTAAAACAACAAAGGTAAAAAAGCTAGAAAAACAGTCTCAAAAGACTCCCCAACGAAGTTCCTACTTACGGTGGCCAACAAATCCAAAGTCTCGCATCAACGAATATCCTAATTAGGGTTACGAATTTCCTGGTTAGTCCACCACTACAATAAAAATTTTCAATTGTGGCTCTTGCAGGCGTCGACGCCCGCCCGCAGTATGCGCAGATAGGAGAGAGCAGCCCCTTTTGTTCCAAGTCCGTTCTTGACACAAGCCAATCCGGGGTGGGGAGGCAGCGGTGCAGAATCTGTCATTGCAAGGATCTGAGATTGGTAGGCATGATAACACAGCGATCTTCTCTACACTGTGGTACATGGCATCAATCTGGTCCCCCCCCGACGACGACCTCAAGGAGCTCAAGAACAGGGTGAGGTGCTATTTGTGGACAGGTGACCCCAACAGGACCACCTGCATCAACAGGGTCGCATGGAGTCACATTACTAGGAAGCCACAAGAAGGGGGCCTTGGGATAATCGACCCAAAACAGGAATCCATAGCACTACAGATGAAATGGGTGATCAAGATTCTCACCAGACAGTTCCTCCCATGGACTCAAATGGCACTAGACAGCATCAGAAATTTAGCTCCCATCAACTCCCCTAGAAACATGAACGGCCTGTTCTGGATCATGGCAAAGGAATGGACAATCAAGTCCAGCAGAACACGCAAAAGAAACCCCACACAGCACATCCCTGCACAGGCCAACACAAACACAATGCAGACAGGCAGCAACTATTGGCGCCCCACTATCAAAGCATGGCGCAAAATGATGCCGAGCAAACACGGAACACCTGGTAACAGAGAAGAAGTCCTGAGACAACCGCTTTTCTGCAACCCCTGGATCACTGACCCCAGTGGAAAAATCTGGACCCTGCACTCTCGGGACCGGAGGTGGCTATCGTGGGTAGAAAGAGGGGTATGGCAGGTCAAGCACATCTGGGTAGAAGACCAAGGACGATGGGCGACGGATCAGGAACTATGAACCACACTAAAAGTATGCCACGCCCTCGCCGATAACTGAACAATGATCATAAATAGCATCCCACCACAGTGGATCCCCCTCCTAAGAGAGGAATTTTCGTGGAAGTCCGGGGATTGGGGTATACCAGTCTCCCAAACCCAGCCTACCAGAGCATACAGATTCGTCACTAGAACGAACCCACCCGGCTACCTATCTAAGTTCTACTCCTACCCGGTAGTTAATCACAACACAAACGAATTGGAAATCCAGAATAACGAACCATAGAGCGAGCTGCTGAAGACGTTCCGTCTGAGAAAAGTGAGGGTATCAAAGTCCAAACCTTGGAAAATCTTCCGACCGGACCTTTGCATTTCAGAGCTAGAATTTGACCCGAAAGAATGGATATGGAAACAGGGGAACTCAGGGAAGATGAGAACATTAGCAAAATACGATGTCAAATTCGGCTATGATCTAGGCCTACAGACCTCAGACCCAGACTCCAGACTTAAAAGCAAATGGAGGGAAACACTGAGTCTGGACCCCTCGACCCCCATAACCATTCCGTGGACTAAATTCCTAACCATTAGACCAGTCAGGATTCGAAGCATGCAATGGCTCCTAGCTCACGCCTCCCTGCCAACCAATCAGTGGTTCCACAAGAGAAGAAAACACACAGACCCCGACAGTACTGAAATATGCAGACTGTGCACGGACAACGCTGAGGAGGACACACTTCACTGCCTCTTATACTGCCCAGAGGCAGCATGGTTCTGGAACAAAGTGCGCATCCTATGGACCTTTCTCTTCTCATCACCCCCCCCGGCCACAACCCCCCTGTACATCCTGATCCTATCTAACGACGCTAACAATCTCAGTGGTGGCAAGGAAGTGTGGTTCCACCTTCTCAGAAAGCTGGCGCTGTGGGTAATGTGGAAGAGGAGATGCTCCAAGACGATCGAAGGAACAGAGGTGCCTAGAGAGGAAATGTGGGTTTTGCTGCTAAGAATGGCGGAAACAGAGATTCGATCCAGATGGCGAGAAATATCCTTGACGAAGAAAGGCAGACCTGAAAGGACAGCCATAAGGAGACGTAAATTCACAAGAGACTGGCTTCTACAGGGAAAGATCGCTACATTGGTGGACAACAGATTGGTGTGGAAGAAGTGGCATAACACAACGACAGAGTCCTTTTGATGAATCAACTGATATTTTAATCTCAACAGCCTAGACATCTCTCCCCTTTTCTTGCTTTATATGTAGCATCTGGCAGAGTCAGCACAGACTCTGAGAGGAAAAGAGGTAGGGCAAGCTGACAGTCAATCCTCCTGACAAGGAGTAATCAATGCTAGTCAGGGTTCCTTCGGCCATACGGAAGGAAGCGTGTGAGTGTTCACCATGTATTACATTCTTGACTTGCCGGTGGAAAGGAACCGGACTGACGCTCCCCATAATGGATATGGAGCCAGGACCATAAGGACCTGTTTAAAAAAAAAAAAAAAAAAAAAAAGATTGGTAGGCATGATCTTAGAATACTTAGCCCATGGCAGGTCTATTGACGAGTCCCGTGCCCATCTATCCGATATCGCTTGATTGGTCGGCAGTGCCCGTCGCGCGTGCCCGATGGTAAGGGAACTGCGGCAATGGTGGGATGCAGCATTCCACTCCCTCACAAACGTACACATTCCATGGGACCTGGGCCTTCTATTGCTCGGCAAGAACCAACATTTAATGGCCCGCTGGTCCCCATTCGCAACTAACCTCTTCTCTTACATGAGACTGCACGTCCTGATGCTGGCCTGGAGAGCTAGGTGTTCCTTTGAAAGAAAAGCCCACAGTTTTGGACTCCAACAAGCACAACAGATGGTGGAAGACGTCATCAGATCCCATACACTTGAAGCTTGGAAATCCTTCAAACGGGATCTTCGAGAAGAGAAAGATCACGGACTCAAACAAACTATCACAGATAACTATTGCCAACTATGGCAGGATCCGAATAAGATATTCTCAGAATTGGACTCAGCACTCGACATCCACTGGAAGCCATGGAGAGCCACAGAACCTACATGGCAACGCAGACCTTTCGCCGAGTTCGAAGTACCATATCTTCCGACTAATTTTGTGTTGGTCACAGACGGTCCACTCATCACCACCTGTCACCGTGCCCACCCACCCCCACCCCCTCCAACCCCATCTGTATGCTCCTCTTCCCCCCCCCCCCTCCCCCCTCCCCCCTCCTCCTTCTGTTCCAGCAGTGGGCAGGTGCAACAACGATCAGGACGCGGGTGACCACCCCGGGTAAACTCTTATTGAGAGCAGAAGACGAGGGTGCTTCAAACAAAGCCAAATCACAAGACAGCGGACAAGACAAGACATATAGCCCAAGCCAACAGAAGGGAGCGGACACCAATGACGCCACCCTGGATACACAGGCTGCGACTGCATGCTCTGAATGGCCGGGAGAACGACCCCTTGGGAACTACCGCTCTGGAAACTAAGCAGGGGAAAAGGATGAATACTAACTGACCGCCTCTGGCGATCACGTATGCAGGCAAGAGATTGACGGGGGGGCTGCAAACATCTGGGATTGAATTAGGACTGACAAACTAAAGGGGGACAGCAAAGCAGGTGTCAGCCCGCAATCTCCAGGCAGGGACTGGGTCTGCAGGAAGAAGGAGCTCTAGAAGCAGGAAGGGTTTTGAGGCAGCCCCGAAGGGAATTAGTGCTGTATGTTAAGAAACGATAATGCCACAGTCCCAACAATGCTTGTGCTGAGACGATGTAACTAAGGGACGCTGGACCCGGTTTCCAGCAGGTGAAGCTCCCCACCAATAGATGGAGCAGCCCGACCGACAAGGCCTCAATTCTGGCGGTTCTCCTACCACCGCCGGGATAGAGGCCTTGCACAACGGGCCTTTTAAAAAAAAAAAAAAAAAAACACCAAAAGGCTCCTCAACGAAGTTCCTAATTAGGGTGGCCAACAATTCCAAACTCTTGATTCGACAATATCCTCATTAGAGTTACAAATTTCCTAATCACGGGTGGTTTTCGGGGGCAATTCGATGAGGGACCTAGCTAACGTACTGGGCTATTTGCTGGGAACCCCTATGAATCTTGGTCCGACGAATTCTCACACTGAGGAACAATCCAAGATTTAGGGCACTACCCAATAATATATAAGAAAAAAAAAACAACAAGAAAGAAATTACACTCAAATAGAACAATTTTGTCCATTGCCCTTAATTCGTAACGCTCAATAACCAAATTAGGGTTTCCACAAATTCCAAATCATCAACACAAATTCCAAATTCGTCGAAGCAATCCATCCCGCCAGATTCCTTAGAAAATATTATTAATATGCCTAAAGCGGCTACAAAACCTACACACACAGAGCAAAATACAACAACCAACCAGCTGGATAAAAAAAGGGAGAAAAACAACCTTCAGGCGTCTAAATCGACGTCCGGTTGTCATGTCCAACAAGAAGAATCAGCAGTTTGCCTAACACGGCATACTCCACGGTAAGAATTGACAGTCGAGTTCTCCTGCCAATCAGCAGCCAAATGTCCACAGCAATCGCCCATCACAGTCTGGCGTACGGGAAGCCCACTGCGGGCAGAGCCTTTGTCATGCCCCAACAACTTTACTCCCATGGCCAGTTGGTGAGAAGCTCTCGTACAGCGAAGCGGCAAAAACAACAGATATAGATGTTGATCATACGTGTTAGGCAAACTGCCGATTCTTCTTGTTGGACATGACGAAAAAAGACAAAAAAAAACGAGGAGGGCACCGTGGAGTACGAAGAAGAAGAGGAGTGGGATCATGAGGACGAGGAGGACAGCGCGGAGTATGAAGAAGAAGAGTATCAGGAAAAGGAGGAGGAGAGGGATCATGAGGACAAGGATGACTCAGGACAGCGTGGACTATGAAGAAGAAGACGAGGAGGAGGCCACGACGATGGAGGACGAGGAGGAGGAAGAAGAAGAGGAGGAGGAGGAGGACGAGGCAGCAGCGATAGAAGAGGACGAGGATCGAAGGAGGAGGAGGAAGAGGGGGCCCTGACAATGGAGGACGAGGAGGAAGAAGAAGATGAGGAGGAGGAGGAGGCTGCGGCGATGGAGAAGGACAAGGACGGGGAGGAAAAGGAGGAGGAGGAGGAGGAGGAGGAGGAGGAGGAGGAGGAGGAGGAGGAGGAGGAGGAGGAGGAGGAGGGGGAGGAGGAGGAGGAGGAGGAGGAGGAGGAGGAGGAGGAGGAGGAGGAGGAGGAGGAGGAGGAGGAGGAGGAGGAGAGGAGGAGGATGAGGAGGAAGAGGAGAAGGAGGAGGAGGAGTGTGAGGGGGGCGAAGTGTCCACCTCCACTGGCCCTCCCCCTTTTCCTTTTTTTTTTGTTACTAATTGATCAATCAATTGATCGATCAATCAATTGATCTATCTCTCTATCTATCTATCTATCTATCTATCTATCTATCTATCTATCTATCAAATCAAATATCAAGATCCCTATATTAGGATCTTGATATTCGATTTGAATGATTGATTGATTGATTGATTGATTGATTGATCGATTGATTGATCGATTGATTGATTGATTGATTGATTGATGGATTGATTGATTGATTGATTGATAGATTGATTGATCGATTGATCGGTTGATCGGTTGATTGATCGGTCGATTGATCGGTCGATTGAAAAAAAAAACAAAAAAAAACAGAGGGGAGGGTAGACGACAATTTCAACAACAATGGCAAGGAGGAGGAAGAGGAGGCAGCGGCGATGGAGGAAGAGGAGGAGAACGCAGCAATGATAGAGGAGGACGAGAAGGCAGAGGAGGAGGAGGAGGAGGAGGCTGCAGCGGAGCAGGTGGTGGAGGAGGAGGGGGAGGAGGTGAAGGAGGAGGAGGAGGAGTAGGAGGAGGCGGATGAGGAGGATGAAAAAGAAGAGGAGCAGGAGGAAGAGGAGGGGGGAGGTGGAGGAGGAGGAGGAGGAGGAGGAGGAGGAGGAGGAAGTGGAGGACGAGGATGAGGAGGAAGAAGAAGAGGAGGAGGAGGCCACGGTGACCGAGGAGGAGGAGGAGGAGGAGGAGGAGGAGGAAAAAGGAGAGGAGGATGAGGAGGACGAGGAGCAGGAGGAGGGGGAGGAGGAGGAGGAGGACAAGGAGGATGAGGAGGAGGAAGAAGAGGAGGGGGAGGAGGAGGAGGAGGAGGAGGAGGAGGACAAGGAGGAGCAGGTGGAGGTGGAGGAGGAGAAAGACGACGAGGACAGTGACGAGGAGGAGGAAGAGGAGGAGGAAAAGGAGGAGGAGGAGGAACAAAGGAAGGAGGAAGAAGAGGAGGAGGAGGAGGAGGAGAGTGAAGTGCGAAAGGGAGAAAACAAGGAGGTGGAGGAGGAGAAGAGGAGAAGGGAAAGGAGGAGGAGGAGGAGGAGGAGGAGGAGGAGGAGGCTAACCTAGCACTCAGTGGCGATGGCGCGTGGGGTTGCGCTGGACGGCATTGGAGTTCGGCAACGGCAGAACCGAACTCCGCTGACAGTGTGTGGGCCAAGAACCGTGGGAGGCCGTCCAGGCCCCCACGTTCCAATTTGAAAATGGCCCAATCTGGGCCATCGATCTCGCAGTCTCGCAGATCCAACGACCCAGAGTGGGTCGTTTTCTCTTTCGATTTCTGAGGCCCTACCGGCCTCCAAACAATTATCCTGTCCAGCCCCCCACTTCGCCTCTACCCACAGCCGACCCTTGTGCCGCCAAGGGCTGACGACCAACCGGTTGTCCGATCGGACAGTCCCGGACGTCCGATCCAGAAACATAGTTTTTTTCTTAATTTGTTTTGATTTTTAATTCGAGTTTGGCTAAGAAGTTGAACATGCGTCCCTGACAAAAGTTGTTTGTATTATTATTTCACAAATTCACATAACATATAGTTTTTTCAGATTTTCCCAAGTTTTTTTCTTTTTTTCTTTTTTATTTTTATAGTGTTCGCGTAACCCACGTTCAGAGGGTTTTGGCGCTCGTTCACGTCTGGTCGCAAACATTCGGGTTCAATCACCGAACACAAACACAATGCTACGCAGGGGAGCTTGTAGGCTGCGTTCTGAAAAACTTCAGCATGCCTGTTGGAGTTCGGAGCGCGGCTATGCATAAGAATAAGAACTTTGTGAGGAATGGTGGTGTTCGGTTCCAGAACCTGCAGCAATGCGTGTTCTTATGTTTGTAGACGACAGACGATGGTGGTGATTAGCTCCTTCTTGCACAGGGTAAGAAGGTTCACGCACATGCCAGGTGCAAAGGGGCCAAGGGCACCTACTTGTTTTCATTGAAAGTTGAATTGCAGTTATTAGTTTTTTCTGATGACTAGTTTGATAGGTCTTTGGCTTGTCTTTTTTTTTTTTTTTTTTTTTTGTTGGAAAAGCCCTTGCTGCGAGGCTACGCCCGCTTAGCCCCTACGGGGCCCTATCTGCAACAAGGTGGGCCGCCCTAAGTGAAGGCAGGCATGACAGGCCCTTCAGGCCTCATTCTTCAGGGTACCCCGCAACGGGGAAATTCAGACAGTTCCATTACGCCAGTTGGTTGAATGAATCCAGGCCCTGGGCCGCCTGTGTAAATGAATGTGAAGCAGGCCCTGGGCTGGATACGGGTACCAGGCCAAACACAGGCCGAAAGCAGTTGGGCGCATGCAACCACTTCAGGCCCCAGGCCTGCTCCCTTCCTGACTGGGCCTGTGCCTACCGGGGCCTACCGGAAGTTTCCTCGACTGGACGCAGGCAGGCCACTTCGATATAGGGAAGGGCCTGCCTCCTCATTCGGAATTCGGGTGCTGGCTGCATGCTGCATGAGCGCTGCTGCGCAATCCGCTGGCTGGCTGGCACTCACGCTCTCACTGGCGAGTAGGAGGGAGCACGCAGCCATAGCCAAGCTGCGCTGCTGTATGCTAGGTGAAGCGCAGGGTGGTCCTTGGGGTGCTAGTGGCATCTGTGCGGTGTGGATCGGGGTTGTGAGTGTTACGAGAGACATACCTGGTGCTGAAGCRTGCGACATTGGTCGCCATATGCTCGTACTTCGGGAACGCTGTTGATGTCATCATTCTGCTTCGTAGTATAGGCTAGATAGGATCTGCCACCTGTAGTCTGGGCGCCAAGCGCCAATAGGATATCAACTCTGGTTCGTAGTTGATGATGATGGGACTACTTCAGTATTGTCAATTTTGAACTCTTGGTGTGTTCTTATTTGGTGTATCTCGTGATGCCAGTCTGCTGTGGTTCGAGGTCAAGACTATCTGGGCTCATATGTATGATGCTGTTTGATTGCCAAAGTTCGCTAATGCTCATCTTGTACCGCCGGGTCCACGGTCGTGCAGACCGTGAGTCAGTTCACTGGCTTAATGGCAAGCCAGCCCGAGGTGTTGTCCCCAGAGGATGTCGCCATCCAGCAGGCATCCCTGCAAGAGGCACAGCTACAGCAGGCATTAGGAAAGATAAAAAGGGAGAAAGAGATAATGATTAGAAGAAGAGCCAGGATGCAACAGAGAGGGACAGACATAGAGGAGTTAGGGACGATGGACCTGACGCATATGGATGAGGATGTGAAGGTAGTTAGGAGGGCCCTGCTAGGCGTAATTGAGATGCAGGAGCATCAAACTACCCTCCTTCAGGACATTCAACAAAGCCTAGCCGTGTTGGCAGGGCGTGCTCAGGCAGCACCATCACCAGCAGGGCCTGGTGCCTGGTCAGTGCCATATCCTCCTCTTTCTGTTCCACCGGTGACTGGGGTATCCCCATATGTAGCCCCTTCATCGGTTGCTATCGTTTCCCTGGGCATGCCTCT